GGGCCGTTGAATAGCCAGTCCGGTAGGTCCAGGGAATTCTGCGTCTTGAATGTCATACTTAATTTCTATTCAATGCAGATATATGGGCCTCAGATTGATGGTGGAAGTGAGCTGAATTTCCTCCCTGGAGTAGTTGGTGCTATTTCTCGAAACACGGGGATGAACAAGGGGGAGAGGCAGGAAGCCATCCAGCATGAGGTTTGGAGGGTTGCAAGGGCCATTGAAAGGGCAGCTTGCGCGCTTAAAGGCAGTCTCACCTAGAATTGTTGTAACAGGACATTTTGCTCCAGATTTTGTACATAGGATAATTCCCCTACCGCCCCTCTCTCTGCTTCCTAATTTACCCAGTTGATGCTCTGTCCCTGTGCCCCCCTTCTTGGCCCTTTACGATTTTACAGCGGTGGTTGCTGGGTACCGGGTTTGTGAGTTCTGACCAAACCAAAGGGTCGAGAGAAGCAGCAAGTTATATATGTACACCAAAGGCTGCTTTGGATTGGAAATGGTTCCCCCTTGGAAGCTATATTGTGCTCAATCAATTCCAAGTGTCTGGGATTAATTTACGGGCACCAGTATTTTCTTTTCCTTCTTCAAAGTTTTGATGTAGTAGCTCTGAGGAACGGTCCTAAGAATGTGGAACAGGCCAGCATTGTTGTAATCTCAAGTTGCGAGTGTTGGTTGAAATGGCAGAAATTTTCGTAGGGTTACTGTCCGCAACGGATTTTCTGTCCCACACTCTGTGCTACTCTCTGTCTCACTTTTTATTATATTGCTATTTCTCCTATATAAATATCATGTTTTAGTTCTTTTTTGTTTTTTTAAAATCTAATAACTATTAATTCAGTAAAAAATAAATACAACAGCTTCAAAAAAGTAATATATAATAGAAAATTTAAAAATACAGTAGAAAATTTATAAAAAATTTCATTTTTTATGCATTTTGATTTTTTGAGTTTGATAAATTTTGTGTATTACTGAATTAATAGTTATTGGATCTTAAGGAAACAAAAAAGAACTAAAATATGATGTTTATGTAAGAGAAATAACAATATAATAAAAAGTGACACAGAAGATCCGTTGCGGTTACTGCTGTTCTCTTCATTTGTCCTGTTTGTTTAATCAGAGCATTCAATGTATGGATCTGGTCGGACATGATTTATATCTATAGGGTGTCAATTATCGATTGGAACTTATGATTTGCTAAGAGCTTTATCATTTGTCCTGTTTGTTTAATCAGAGCATTCAATGTATGGATCTGGTCGGACATGATTTATATCTATAGGGTGTCAATTATCGATTGGAACTTATGATTTGCTAAGAGCTTTATGTGAATTCAATATGGCACTTGAGCAAATGGCGAAAAGGAAAACGATTGAGGAAAACCCGCGCCAGGTAGGGGTCGAACCTACGACTTTCTGCTTAGGAAACAGACGCTCTATCCACTGAGCTACAGGCGCGTTGTGGACGTTTTATAGATTACTTTCTAAAGATCGTTTCATATAATTCGGCGCTGTTATTTTGAAGTGGGAAAGGGCGCCCAAACTCCCGGAAAACGAAATTGGAATGGAGGGGAGGGAGGAGAAATGGATCGGCGGCAAGTTTTGCGGAAGCATCTCGAGTTTCTGCCACCACCTCCAAAGCAGCTGCGACGCCCTCATACAATCCGCCGACCGCCGGCCCATCCCCCTTGGTTGGTTTACCCCACAAGCTCTCCATTTCCTTTTTTTTTTTTTTTTTTAATGTGGTAATTTGCTTTTACTTTTTGTAGTACCAGAGAACAAAAAAATTTCCCCAATCGTCTTATTTTCTGTGTTTTCCTTTTGGTTTTGATTTTTTTCCCCATCTTGGGTGTGAAAATAAAATGCCGGAAGACTCGGCTTCGACTACGTTCATGGAATTTCTAAACCGGAGAATGTCATCCACCAGCACCGACCTCAACTTGCTGGAGTGCATGTCCTGTGACACGGTGTCGTTTGAGGAGCTCCTCGGCCACTGCACCCAAGTCTACAACCACAACCAAATTCACCTCCTTGCCCTCCAACAGCACCCCGTTTTTTCCACTTCCGCCACCCAAATCCCATCATCCGGTCGGTAGCCGCCGTTATTTATATTCTATATTCCATGTTATAGGATTACATCTCCAGAAATCAGATAGGAATGGAAGCACCTTTTTTTCGATGTAAATTTTTTCCCCAATTTTGAGGGATATAGAAAATTTACCCAATAATTTGACTTCTTTTGCTTCTACCATTAGCTGCCACTGCTGAAGACCAAGATGAAGAGGAAAAGGATTCCGACGACGATGATTTATCTTTATCACCTCCTACGAGCAGCAGCAGCACAACCATCCTGCATTTTAGTAGCAAATTCCAAGATGATCCCTTGTATCCTTCTAATTATTGTTTTAGTTTATGTTGAATATGAATGTTGACTTCTCAAATTACTACCCTCAAATGAATCAGTAAATGAATTTAATACTACTCTTAGATTACTATGCCCCTTTCCTTTTATTTTTATTATCTCCCCACCACCCCCCCCCCCCCCCCCCAACCCAAAAAAACAAAAAAAAAATTCAGATTTCTGGTTGATCTTGAAGAATATAATCTTGGAGGAAGCAGTTGAGGTTCCTTGGTGCAGAACTTAACGTTTTGATAGGTTGGATGATACTCTCAGTTTAAAGAATCTTGGACTTTCCGATGTTTGTCTTGCTACCATAGCATCTGATCAAGGTCAGACTAAATGATTTTAAAAATCGGATTAAGGAAGGTTTTAATCTATTTGCTTTGTCAGATGTTTAGTACTAATTCTAGTGGTCTATTCTAAGAAAAGTGTATTCTTGTTAATTGACATGATGGGATTTTGACAGCTAATAATAGCATTCACACTGCAAAGATGTTTCAAGAAAGTGAAGGTTCTTGATTTCTTGGTTTTTTCATCGTAAAAAGGTTTTATCTTTTGAATCCAAATTTGTGAGTGATTTTTTTTTTGGTGTAATTAACTAGGTGAAATGAGAGATGGATTAACGTCGTCCAGGGATTCTAAACCACGGATAGTTGCGTCAAGAGATGATTATGAAGGCCTCCCTAAACATATCAAGAGCTTGGCATCCTGGGAGGTACTTTCTTCTGCTTGTAGCTAAAGATTCTACTGTCGTTAAATTATTAGGCTGTGCAGTTATTTGAAGTTACATAGGATAAATACACTATAAAGGTGTAAGCAGTTATATTTCCACTATGATTTTGGTATACCTATAGTTCAATTTGTGGTTAGTAAGTTAATTTCCTGTTTTCTACTTTTATTCATGTAGTTTCTGTTCAGGTAACCAAATCGGTTGTGCAGATCATCTGTTTAACTAAATAACTGAAGCTTGTGGTGAATCAAGTTTTTGCAACTTCTTGTCATGCTTGAGTTGTATCTTTGTCAAGGCTGGAAGAGTAAGGTTGTAATCTGTTAAGCAAAGGGTTGGGCGTTAAAAAGCGTTAAAACCAGGACCAATATCTTCATGCTTATAGAATCCAAAGCTAGATGACTCAGGTTCATACCTAAGCTGTCAAGACATAGTGGAAGTTAGAGTTGAATTGATCTGGAAGAGAAAGCCTGTAATCTGTTAAGTTGCGTATTCAAACCAAGAGCAATTCTTCATGGATGTATATTCAAAAGTTAGATGATTCTGGTATATACCTAGTCTGCTAGCCTCGGTGGAGGGTAATGAGAGTTAAATCGATGTGGTGTAGATAAAATCACCGAGAACCTTCTGATTCATGCTTAAAAATGACTGCATTGTAACGTTTGACATTATATATTCGATTAGGGATCTTTTTTTTTTTTGGTGTCAGTCTTCTTCTTGTTTCCTAAGTACAACTTTGAAATATTACCTTTGCCAGGATCTTATTGTTGCTGTCGAGAAGATGAATTCTTCCCTGGCAAAGAGGAGCATGAAGGTGGACACAATCCAACAAGATGAGATTTCGTTGTTAGGATTAGGTATGCATCTTTAGATTGGTCAGGTTTTATTAGCTCATCTATGTGGTTTGCAGCTCATTGACTGCTATTAAAGCTTTTGACTCCTTCAGTGAGAGCAATGGTCAGGACTTTTGTATTCTTACAAGGTTATCAAACTCGTCTTTGTCTCCCTCAATTCACTTGGTGAAATTGCATAAAGAAGTGAAATGAGTCATTTGACATAGGACCACCTGTTTTTCTCTTTAGTTTAGCATATAGGACCTATTTTGCATTATTGAATGGTATAGTCGTCAGATTTTTGCTTTCCTTTCTCAGAGTTGTGCACCACAGGATGGGACACAACAAAATATATTATCTTTCGTGCCATAAATTGGGGAGCTCTTTGTGATTCTTTTAGACTAACAAGAGAGAGGTGGACCCGGATAATTAGTTTATACTAGATCTAAAGTCGGAAATTCTTTGGCGTACAAAGCTTAATAAACTTTTTCTTTTTCTTTTTTCAAAGAAACAGAATGCGCGTGGATTTTTTTTTTTTGTTTTCATGGATGGACTATATCAGCATCTGTGCTAACTGGCTGCTCTTTTGTTGCAGGCCATAAAGCAAAAGCTTATTTGCTATTGCTTATAAAAATGAATTGCATGGTCGTTGAGACGATTGATGGTGTGATTGCCTACAGAGTGCTGTAGACGGTAGACCACAGTCGTGGAGTAAAGCTTTAGATCCGCAAAGGCTGCAATGCTCCGACAGATTATGTTCTTCGGGTGCCACTAGTTTCATCTCCTTTCTTTCCTTTACTCCGTCTTGCGACTTGGGTACTTTCCCTGGGTAACATAAGTGGAGGCTTGTCACACATTGTAGTCCAATTTCCTTCCCCACTCGGAATGTAAATTCTTGGCACATGCAACGCAAGAACTGATCGATTGCCGGTAGAAAATTTCCCCTTATGGTGTTGCTTTAGTTGGAAATCAAAATGTTAAAATTCTTTCTGGAGTTGAGATTAGTTTCTTAATAAATGAATTGAATAAATGAATAACGCGTGGAGTAAGCTTGGAGCTAAAGATCCCATCTTAAGATTCCTTAATTGTATATCTTAACTGGCTTCTCAAACGTGTGACGATTCTGCAATTTTTGACAGGAAAAAGACAATAGATTACCCAAAGCTGCTTAACCTCAAATAGTAGAAGAATTTTCAAGGGTGTGCAAAGAAAAGAGGCATGATTTATTCATTCAAGTGGCTAAGATAAAAAAAAAAAAAAAAAAGAACAAATATTTACAGATCAGGAATATTTACCTGGTTAGATACGTAAGCTCTTTTAGGAGTTGTATCAGAATGCTCCAAGCCAAGGTACTGCTCCCAAGCACCATAAACATCTCTTCTCTGGTAGGCAACAAATCAAGCTTCTTCAGTTTGAGGATACAAGAAAGAGGTAAAACATCAAAAACGGAAGATTTTGGACTACAAGCTTGACCTGGAAACGGCTGGACACAATGTCAGTGTCCTGAAGATACTCAGGGCGTCCCAGTGACAAAAATGCAAACTTCCACTAACCATTCAGGACAAGTAAAATCAGTCCAATGTTAACAGAATGGCTTGAATTGTATTAGAAAGAGAATAGCTGAGAATAAACAAAAGCGTTACCTTTGAAAATTCCTCATCCGGAACCTGCAACTTCTTCTGAATTCGCACTTTAACTTCAGCTAAAGTTTCACCTTCACGAATGACCAAAAAGAAAGGTTCCCCAAAATTCTGAACTTGCTGTTGATGGAAAGAAGTGGCAAAGGTGTATATGCAATATCAAATTGTCACAGGATTAATAATAACAAAAACAGAGCCAAATGGGAAGAAACAGGGCATTAATGGCATCTCAAATTCACAATGAAGTATCTGCTACGTCCAAGTACCATTGGATTTTGTGCCGTTTCCTTGGTGAAATGATAAACATGAATTAAGCGATCATGAGGACCAAGGTTCTTCTCTTCATCCGGAATCTGGGGAGAGAACATGAATTTATAAAATGATTTGGGAACAAATAACAAAATATATAGGTTCCCACAAGTCAAATGAATGAGTTTCAAAGGTAGTTATACTTGCCAATTTGATAATGTAGTCATATTCCAGTAGTCATATTTGTCCACGTGTATGTACAATAAGTTCAACCATTTGCACATACGTTAACAATTCTCTTGAGCAAAAACAAACAGCAACAGTGTTTGTAGCACATCAAATTATTTAAAATAGTTTTTCAAATAAAATATTTTTGAAAGCATTAGAAAGGAAATTTCCTACACATGCAAGTTCATAATGTGCCTTAGCATGTTCGTTTTTCCAATATATCGAGGTTAAAAACACCAAAAGTAAGAACTCAGCACCTATTATCTCCCATAAACCAAAATTGAAGAGGAAGTATGAAAGAAGAAAAATGCAGCAAGGTAAAGATTGCACCCTATGGGAAGTAAGACAGAAAAGGGCAACCACACTGACCTCCTCTGCCCGTAATGTCCAGTACTGATCATTTATATTCTCAATCTTCTCATTCAGGGGAAAGATCTGCATATATTAAGACGACACAACCATGGGTACCATCCATCAGAAACAAAAAAAAAAAAAAAAAGGGCCACATCACAATTGAAACAGAAATACAAGACAAAAAAACCAGAATCACTGCAAGCATGACCTGTCTCGACGGTCTCGTAGTATATGGCCACAAAAGATCTCACATCATAGAAGGCTAAATACAGTGTTCATACAGCATAAACCATGTAATGGCAGCTGGCACATGTATCAAGCTCATCTCCTAGAATATAGAACAGTGGGTTTTCCAATCATCTTCCATTCTTTCAACACATTTTTCTTGGTCCTAAAAGACAATACCAACAACCTATACAGTAGACTGCTCATACTGGCCCAGGAACCTCGGTTCTCCACCAGCTCAAGCTGTAGAACAACTAAATCCGCACTGGCCAACTAATCCTCGCAAGAGGTATCCTTTTTTACCTCCTTCAAACTCAATATTTCCCCCAGAACAAATTTAGCACTAGTACCATTTACAGCTCAACACATCTATTGAAGTATTGATGAATATAACTAAATATGAAATTTCAAACTCATGTTTCCTTCATAGACCCAAAATTTGCATAGCCATGGAAAAATAGACAGTTTTTCAAAAGACACTCCACTAATGACACAGTTCACTAAGAGTAGAAGCCATCTTTGCCCTCCACTACTTTCAGTCCGTCACTATACCATCATAAACAGCTTCCAATATGGGAAAGTTACCTTGTAAATCTTGTGATAGAAAACTTCAAGCAATCTAAGTTCAGCATTTGGTTGGGACAATTCCACCTGTTACATAGTGAACAATAAAGATTGATAATCTGAAGTCATCCAGCTGAGTAGAAAAAGGAATGGGATGTTGCGCCCCAGGGGCACTGCTGGGGGTTTCTACTTTACAGGCAAAATAATACATGGAAGTCATATACCAAAGATTCTTGAGCTCCAACAGAATTTTTTACAATACTGCTTTTAATTTGATGCATAGCAGAGACACAACACTTACTTCTAAAGAAAAACAGATAGAAGCCCATGTAGACCTACATGTTAAGCAGGTCAACACGACGACTAGGAGGAAAAAAACATGGTAAAGGTTACATATTTAATAGAATCAACTCACATAAGTACTAGTTCAATAACATTGAAACAGAAAAGCGCAATAAAATGAAGTTTAAATAATTGTGGGCACCATTCTCACCTTTGTTTTAATTTCATTAAGTACATCTTCTACAGTGCTCAGTTTTGGCAATCTAACATTGAGAATTATCACCTGACGGATTGTAATAAACATACCATTAGATACACAAAATTTGGGTACCGTTGTGCTGTTGCACAATATCGGTAATCTGAGACTTACCTCATCTTTTGTGGCATAATGAAATGCAACTTTCAGTGTTTTCAGACATTGTAATTCTGGCAGAGGAATATCCAGCACCTCATAGTACAAAATATCAGAGACCTGTAAAAGAAAACCAATAAAAGTTAACCGACTGAAATCAAGAATTCCTCTATAGCCCCTTATTATTAGCTTAATATCAAAATGTTACAGGAGAAATAGGATCAAAAACTACAGATGAGATATAGGACATGAAGAAAAAATCCAAAATAAATTCAGCTCATATCATGTATACCTGATTGTAATGGACAAGCATATCTAGTAAGTGATCAACAGATCGATATTTAATGAAATTGGGCTTTGGTTGCTGAGAATAGCAATTGTGAGGAGTTAGCCTAATTTTCGATGGGTCGTTCAGACCAAGCCGTTGAGCTACTCTTTCCACCACATCATCATAAGTGTGGTTCTTTGCTCTAAAAATTGATTAACAAGATAGTATTAGCACATGACAATCAGAAATAATCTCCAACAATCCAGACCTAAAGCATTGCAAGTACTTACAACTCTAAACAAAAATCATCCTCTTTGGGTCTCTCCAGAGCTCGAAAGTGAACAACCTGAAAACGGAAAATTTGAAGAAAGAGTTATCCAGGTTGATAAAAGAATTCTTGTCGTACTTGCAACAAAATAGCCCCATGGTAATGCCCATAAACCACCTGCTGTTCAGGATCATATAAGAGGACTGGAAAAATGAAATTACTTTAAGAAATTATGCACTCAACATTCACATAGCAAGAAAAGATGATGCATTCTCTATTACTCCAGCTATAAATGACAGCCAAGTAAACTGTAAGCTCTTTGCCTTCCCAACATTCCATTTCGGTGCCAATAATGCAAGTAAGGAAACTTATATCCTGTTTTGCATTCATAATACTCCCAGAAACCCTACATAAGCGCTATCATTTAGTTTAAAAATCTATTAAATTATTGATAATATAGTACATCTTTGCTATTAACTGCATCACCTTTAACTTTTTGAAGTCCAATGGACTTATCTACAACAAAGAGGTCATCTTAATTTATTTAGTCTAAGAGAAAATCGTTGAATACATCAATTTGGGAATAATAATGGAATAGAAAAAGCAAATTTGTTGAAGCATTAAAATATAAAAAAAGAAATACTTCCAAACTCGAGCAGCTTGACTGCAATCAAAGGTGATGCAGAGAGAGTAATAAAATTGAACAAGCAATCCCTGGGAAGAGTTTTTACAGAGCTCATAACAAAACCTACCCAAAGAAAAACCCATATTCTGGACCAAGTACAAGCTTTACTAAGAAAAATGGGAACAAAGAAAGTTACTAACTACCCAAAAAAAAAGAGAGAGAGAGAGAAAGAAAAAAGTAAAAACCCATATTCTGGACATGCATAAAGAATATATGCTCTGCCTACACACATGAATAAATAACATGCACAAAGAAAAAGTACAAGAAGAATGAACACATGCCACAAGAGAAAAGCAGATGACTATGAGAACCTAAATACCAAATAAAAAATGCAAGCAGGTTCACCTGGCGATTTTTAACATATTCCAAAAACATAGGAACATCAGGATATCGGACTTGTTCTTCACTTTCAGGTGAAAGGCGCTTTTGAAAGCAAATGATATCCCCATCTTCAATCTTCCAGAGGGTAAAAAGCAGAAAGATAAAAGACTTGATGAGGAGGAAAGTACAAGTTAGTAAAAGTGTCAAAAACTGAAACAAAAGAAGAATGACAAATACCTGACTAAACCGGAATGAAGTCCTCCTGTCAAGGCGCTCGCACATGACATTAGGGTCATATTTTATTTCCTACAAGAAGATATAGAAGGTAAAATAAGTTCATGTTCCATGTCCAATTCAGCATCACAAAGTAGCAAACAGATACAAAATTATTACAGACCATTATGTGTCGAAAAGGAATACAAACCTCAAAAATTTCAATTTCTTCCTCTGGAGCAAATCCAGCCAATTCGTTTAGTTTCGTCAAGATTTCAGATGGCTTTCCAGAACACTTAACAAAAAGCCTGCCAACATATCTAGAAACAGAAAAAGTAGACCGCATATCAAATGCATACCATGAACGGAAAGAAAACCATGAATGGAAAGAAAAAGCATTACTTAAATGAGTAACCATGCATGCATATACATGCACATGCACGTAGAAAATATATGTATATGGACATAAAAAGCAAATTACCGAAGCTCTTCCTTTTCAGGATCATAAAGCTTAAAGAACAGAAGTATATCTTCTTTAGTCTTGTCAGGTGGAGGAATAGGACGCAAGTCCTGCAAGGTTAGAGTGCAAGTAAAAATGCATTAAAAGTAGGACCAGCAGAGCCTTTGAATAACAACCACATGCAAGTGGCAATTGATAACAAGATTGTCTTGAAGATGGTTCAAAAAATACCAGTCCATATTCTACTTCCAAAAACAGTTTGAGTTCTGCATTATGAGTTTTAGTTGATACTTCCCTCAACTGCCCAACCTGCACTTCCATACAAGAAGTATAAATTGACAGTAGAAGGCATAAGCAGACCTCCAAGATGGGTGAAAATGCCAAGAACAAAGAGATATCAAAAGATAAATATAAAAACAAAATAAAGATAACAAAAGTGGAGATTAGTCAAAAAAAAGGCAATCAAGACGATTCCACATCCTATTAACTGACCAATACCAAAAGCAAAAAAGGAACTTACAAGAGCAAAACTGATAAACAATTTAACAGACTGACCAGAAATCTCAACAAGTCTATTCAGCATGGTTAACCTACTAGGACATCGAAGAAACAACAGTGCCTTTGGCGCAATATAGAAGTGCCATGGGGTCAGAATTGAAAGAGGATTTCCAACAGAAGAAAATATATGCACAACAGAATGACAACATAGAGGAACATCTCAAGCTCAACCTATGTCACACCAGACAACTAAATCAAACCTACCTCCCTTGAAATACTTAAACTGAACAAACCCCAGACCTCTTTCAAAGATAGACCGCTTGTTTACTTTTGACAGAAGCCAAAAATACAAAAACCAACTTTCTCAAGGAATTCAGTTCTCCATACAAAACTTCAAGAATAATTTAACTCTCTCATCATTGTTACAGATTAAAATCCTTCAAAGCGGGACTCTTGCTTCAAGAGCTTCTTCAAACTAGTTTACAGATAAATTGATACCAATCGGCCAGAGAACAATCCTTCTTATACCTTGAATCCCCATCCACTATCCCTTGAAAAACTCATCCCTCCCAAAACAAAACTGTGGAATTAAAGTAACACTAAGCTCTCTAATACACATGCCATTAACAAGCAGCAGCCCTGCCCCCTTCCCATTTTTCACAGGACAAACAGGAAAACAAAAGCAAAAAGAGATTCTGAAGGGAAAAAGATGCAAACCAAAAAAAGCTTTACCGTTTGTGTTTCTTCTTGAGGTGTCAATGGGCGATTGGGACGATATGTGTGATTCTGCCTCTTTGCCCAGATCCAAAACCGTTGGTATTGAACAGGAATACCAAATTCTTTTGCAACCTCCTCCTGCTTCATACACACACCTAGATTAAGAAGCCTAGAATATCTGAAAATTCAGACTACTAATTTAATTGGTTAATTTGTATCAGCAAAAATGAAGTGTGAGGGAAATACTTAGAACACATTAAGAATCAACATAACAATTTGTTCATTTTTTCTTTCTTTCAGGATCTTTTATTCTTCCTTCTCCTGTCTACACAAGTTTACAATGAGAAATACACAGAAGTGGTGGTCACAAAGACAACAGCTCCATGCCTCATTGCAAAGCCCACCAAAATAGACGGGAAAATTCAAATGAGTAAAGAACAACAAAAAAAAAGTATCAATCACAACCTCATCTTAATCCTGATAAGACTTCCAGTTTTCTCAAGATCAGCAACTCTATTATACATAAAAGTGTGAGACAAAAACATTCAAAGAGTCAGAATAGATCATCACACTGTTTTTAACTCCCTATTTCTTTTGGTGTATCCACTGCAGATAACTCTGATGCTTATGGTCTTTCCAACATCCACTAACAGAATTTATAACGAAAAGAAGAGTACCTTAAAAAGGTTGAAAGGCATTTGCTTCTGTATCCGGAAGCTTCGAACTTTATCATGGTCAACAAGATCAAAATGTATATCTTTTCCTATTTGCTCTCTTAGATCCTCATCCCGTGCAACCTAGATAAGTTATTAGTACCATGTTTAACAACGTACTCAGAGGTAGAAACACTTCAGAATGACAAATTTTGTACTAAAGGAATATAACCTTGATGATGGTATAAAGATGGGCTTGAGCTTTGTATCTTCTCTTGTCCTCCTTCTCTTCTTGTTCTTTCTTCAACCGTATCTAAATGAGACAATTATGCAACAATATATGAGGACATCAATTACATATAACATGGAAGCAAGAGGAAATTCAAGACACATACCCTGAGGTGCTCTGCAATGTCTTTCTCATCCACATCACATATTATTTTATCCTTGTCGCTTTCCCGTATATACACAAGCATATATGCATTTGAGTACTTTGTGAATTTAAAAGGAGTATTATTGAAGCCAGGATTTGTTTGTGGCAACTGTTGGAAAGAGTAAATATGAGTGTCAGCATCTTAACTCAGGAATACTGCATGAGGTTTGCTGATAGATATATTACCTCTTCCTCACCACCATACTGCTCCTCCAGCGCCCTCTTAACATCTTCTTTTGTAACTCTCTCATCGTCAAATTTGTACCTATGAGTAGACACAAGACACCAGAGTTGAACTATGTCAAAAGTTTAGTAATCAGATCAAAGTTGCAAATATTTGTATAAAACTATAGATGCATCTCAATAAAGACAACAGGAACATCTGTAAATAGAAAAATAAACACACAGCATGTCAATAACTAGCAATGCAGTTCTCAAGCTAAGACCAAAAAAGATTGCAGTTCTCAAGCTTGCACCTATGGTGCAACAAATTTCAACCTTCATTGAAGAACTAAAGCAACTAAAGTACACAACAAACTTTTTACCTCTACAGATAGGCAATTACAGTCGGAGACCCCCAAGCAGGTAGAGAAATGCAACTATTGTATAACACATTTCAACCTTCATTGAAGAATAAAGCAACTAACATACACAAGAAACTTTGCCTTTGCAGGTAGGGCTACAGACAGGCAATTACAGTCAGGCCCACAAGCCAGCAGAGAAAAGAGCAGAAACGAGACTTCAGAGATAATTGCATACCACTGATCAGAGAGTGTCGGCCTAATGAAAGCATAATAGTGCCCACCATGTACTCCACCGCTATGTACCAAAACACTGCAATAGAAAATGGACACAAATAAGTTTATACAAATCTTGCTTGAATACTCGGAAATAAACATGAGTTAAACAAAAAGCAGAGCATAAAATATTATTCACACCTAGACAATAGTTTGATGCTAATGAATTATAAAGGAGGGCAGAATAAAATCATTAAAGCATCGTAAATCATTGGCTTAAATATATCAGTCTAATCACAGCCGATAGGTAGAACTGTGAAGAGCTCAATTTACCACAATGCAAATGGAAAAGATTATGTATTACATAAAAGCCAGACAGGAGCAAAATCCTAGAGTAATGTAAGGAAAACATAAAAAGAGAAAGATGTCAGTATCCAATTTAATGAACCAAGCTTTCACTCTTCAGCCTGAGCCCTTCTTTCTGTCAACTTTTAACAGAGCTCCACATATACGCACAATATAGAGAGCTAAGAGAGTTCACCTATGAAGTGTGTAGAGATTGCGGACACTCCTATCTGCATCAGGGGACAGATATTTGCCACTCTCTCTGTCAAGGTCAAGTTGCAGAGGAAACTCATAGCGGTCATTTATCTGCAAAGCGTCAACCATTTAAAAAAAAATTCCAAGGTGCACTAAATACTGGTTGTCCAATTCATGTTCGCATAAACCAATTACAAATTCAAAAGACAAAAAACTCTAATAGGTTATTGTCCGTACTCCTACTTAGAAATACTTGTTTCCATCTTTACACCTGTTCATCCTGGACCATTTAGTAAAATTATTACCAACTTAGTGAAGTCCACCACAGCCCACGAGCTACCTTCTCTACCTCCTTTGCTTGACAAACTTTTCCCTCAAAATCAGATACAGAATACAAAATGTATACAGGTAAATACCCAAAAAATTAGAAGTGATCTTTCATATTCAAAGAAGTATTTATTAGCATTAACAAAATCATACAGATTATAAAGCAAAAGACAATATATATGGTAATTAGAAGAAAGATAAATAGAGAAGCAGATAGCCTAAAAACTAAATTTCAGAACAGATGCAGTGTTTCAGGCAATCAATAGCAGATGTGCTCAAAGCTGTGGTTTTCTATATTGTTTTCCATCTTCACAGGCAAAAAAAATTTCAACATTATAACCTTCACATTGCCAACAATGAGAAGTAGTTTTCATCAATGCATCAGAAGCAACAAAAAGCAAGGTCAGATATAAACTTATTCATGCAAGAAAACATAGTTAGTCTTCAACTTCTTCAATATACGGTCACAACCCCACCCCCACTGACCAGAGTACTTTTTCCTTTGCAAAGCAAATGAACACAGAAAGTTTGTCCAGCTAACCTTAACCATCGTATCACGCATAAAATCATACTCAAAGCGCTTGAGCTGAAGCTGAAGCACAGGAGGAAAGTCGATAAAGAGGACACCTTTTCTAGCATCCTGAAAGTAGCATACAATTCACACTTTAAAAGCATAGTATTTCACAAAGTGCAGGAAAAACTGTCCAAATAAATTAGCAACAAGACAAATAGACTACATTAAAAGCCAAAGATTCCAGATCTGAAAACAGACTACCAGCATATAGATATAAGAATACACACGGAGAAACATGCTATCAAAAACCTTATACATATACCTTTGCGACAAAAGAAGCCATGGAAAATTTATCTAAACCGGAGGAAGATCTTAAAAACCCATGACAAGCAGCTGATGTCAACACATGATCTAATTATTGGATTTGGCTCCTCTCTAGTGGATTCTCTCTTCATTTCCTGCAGTGCACATTTGGATGCATGACATGTGTCTTCATTTATTAGGAATGGACATGATCATTTTAAGTTTGACTAATCCTAACCCTTGATAATAAATGAAGACCCGTGTCATACATTCAGATGTGCACTGCAGGAAATGGGGAGAAAATCCACTAGAGAGGAGCCAAGTCCCTAATCATCTACTTATTTATAGATTCGCCATCGGATTTAAGATAATTTGACGGCAAAATTTCCAATCAGCATTATCACTTGTGCTTCCACATGGTCAACAAAAAGACACATCATAATTTGCCATAAAAGTTTTTCTTTAAGTGTTTGAGCAATGAATATTATTATAAGAATGAAAATATATATACCTCCATTACCAGACAGAGTACACCACAACATTCATCTATAAGAAGGTTAGGCTCAGGTAGCACATGATGAATTTATGAAGTGACATTGCATCAATTTTTCTAAAACATTTACTACACTAAACAACGTGCTGTTACCAATAGTTATATAGAGGTCAACCAATTCTCTTATCAAGCCGACCACGCTGGTCAACCCATTTACCCTTTAGGTTGCTCTATTTGACATCATAGATTACCATCACTGGATCTATGGGAAACAGTTGCCAGAATGCAACTACAACTTTCTGTATGTTGTACATATCAACTAAAAGTGAGACCAACCAAACCTACAAAAAACAAGATCAATTAATCCAGTATCCAACCTGCAAACCATGTTCCTCGGCATGGTACTTGTTATCACCTTCAAGACGTTCAACTTCCACATATTTATCAAAAGAAGCATAAACATCCTTACAGCCTTTCACATCAAGTTGAAGATCTGCAATGCAAGTAGGAATAAAGTTAAAGTATAAACACGGAGAATATTAGGACAAACTTGGCAATAACCAGTACCATAAAAGGATTCCTTTCTTGTGGATTTGAAGTCCACATTGATGCATTCAATGTAGTTCATATGGTGCCCTTCAAACAACTTCTGTATTGTTCCTTCCACTACCGTTCCCTAGAAGAGCAAAGTACTTGTTTATATATCAGCATAAGACTACTTAGAATAAGATTCTTGGAAATCTACCATACTCAAGCAACATACCTTCATCTTATCTTCAAGTTTCTCACACAAAACCCTATTCAGTTCTTGCACATCATGCTGCATAAACGAGTCATACGTATCCCACCCAAAAGATTTAGTCAACTCTTTTGTTGCAACACTGGTGTCACTGTATTGAAGTTTATAAAACAAACTCTGTAGAGCCAGAGGGATGCTTCCTGAAGGCATATCATTCTCTGTTGTTGGCATATGATAAACAGCCTGATACATAACATTACCAATGAGGCATTTCCACTTTAAAAAAATAAGAAAGAGAATGATAGGCCCACTTTAATGGAGAAATACACTAACCTTTCTAAAATAAGGAATATGGTACAGAGTTTGCAGGAGAGAATTCATATAACAAGTTGCTCCCTGGTTCTTTAGGCCCACATAACCAGTCTCTTTCTTTGAGTCATATGTCCAGTAATCAATGACCTTCCGTACAGCAACATCAGCTTCAACAACAACTGAGTCATTCACGAGGTACCCCTTACTCGGGTCATAAAGCTCACTAAGAGGCATGAAAGACGTAAAGCCCCAATCACTCTCCCTTTGATTGAACTGGTGCTGTGTGTCTGCAAAACCCAGTATGAAAGACTCTAATCAAAACCAATTAGAATCACAATAATAGATGGCATATCCCTGCAGTTACATGTCAGGATGTTAGGAAAAACAAATCTCAGCTTCCACGGACTAAATTGTTCTAACTATCAAGCATATCTCTGCAACCGTCATACTCCGGAAAGCACTAGCTCGAGAGGCATAATTTGCAGGCACACGTTGAGGGAATTATCAAGCATCAGAATGATGATGGGGGACTAGATGGAAAGTATACACTCTTCCTGGGCATCCAAAGAGTACATTTGGAGGAAAAAACAAAACAAAACTCAAATGTTACCAATCAAAACTACATCAGTGTGCGATTCCAAAACCAAAAAAAAAAAAGCTTTAGCACTTGCCTATCTGATTTCCCATAATGGATTTCAGTTATAAAGTACACGGAAAGTGCATCGAACAAGAGAAAGAATCAAAAGGGCAAAAGTGGATGCATGTCTGTGTGTGTATGTATATACATACTTCAGTTCGCAATAAGAAGAATAATAATGAAGCATATCTTTTCATACAAGTGACGTGAAAAACTACATCCAGCTAAAGAAAGAGAAAATAAACCACCTCGCATGCCCTAACACCATTAAAAAAAAGAGACACAGCAGAAAAGAAATAAGAATTACCTTTTTTTATAGTGAACTTGTTATGAATTTGATTAACAACAGCTAAGCTGAACTGGGCATAGCGACTCCACCCATATGGCAAGGCAGCTGAATCAGCAACATCTAAATACATTGACAGATAGTCGACATTGTTGCCTTTCGGAAAGATGAGCACGCGCCTGCTCATCAAAATGCCAGTCAAAAGGTGCATTTTACCTCTTTGATATCGTGCTATAGCTAAAACAAGACTTGAGAAAACGACAAAAGAATACAGCTTTACACTTACCATTTGTAACCGCCAACAATAAAAACCTCGGAATAAAGCTTTTTCAAATTCAAGCGAGAAAAGTTCTCAATAGTCCACGTGAACCTTGACGCTTGTGGCTCATCTACAGCTTGATTCTCTGCTGTACTAGCATTCTCTGGCTGTGCTACTGCTCATCAATCAACCCCACAAGACAAAGGAAAAAATAAAAACCCCAAATATCAATAAAAGATAACTGGCCAAACTCATTTAAAATGAAAAGACTACTTAACGGCAATATCAGTAAATGGAATGCAGCTTCATTAAAAATATACAAAAGAAATTCAATTAGCAGACAAGGTAAGCAGACAATAAAAAATATCAGAATTGTAGTAACTTAAGTAGAAAAAGGAGAAGAAACCAAAGTGCTAACCTTCCATTGGCTGAGGACCTTCGACCAAAGGCTGAGGGCCTTCCACAAAATCCGAGTGGGGCACCAGCATCTCCTCGTCTTCTTGTTGCTAAAGTTCACAAGCAAAGTAAATATACCCAAAATCAAAAAAAGGGAAAAAAAAATGTGATCCGTTAAAACCCTAGCCCTGTCACCTAATTTAAAAACCCTAATATCAATTCACAAGTAACTACTTAATTCCCAACACAATAATATTCATAATCCGTTCTTAAACCTTGCTTCCCACTCCAAAAACCCTAGATGATCACATAACAGCCAAACTAATTGCAATCGCGAAAAAATCATGCGTACAGCCAAAAAACATGTATTTATTCACCTCAAACGCTATTCAGAACAAAAAAAAATTGAAGAATACAAAATCGTAAAATGTGTGAATGGAAACTGTGGGAGTGGGGAAGGGGCAGACTTACATCCAAAGGTTGAGGAGTCATCATCGTCATAGTTGAAGTTGCGAGAAACGTCGGACTGACGAATCTGATAAATGGAAATTAAACTGATAAAATTGAGAGAAAAAAAGAGAGACTTCTCAGAAAAAAAAATATATGTATATATTAAAAAAAAAGGGAGTGAAGAATAGAGCGAAGGCTCTGGGTTTGCTCTGGGTTCGTCTTTTGGTTTTTCGATTGGGGAAGGGATTCCTTCGGGATTTCAGACAATCCCAAGGGTAAATTGAAGGAAGAGGGAAATTACGGGGAATTGCTGCGTAAATGTGCGTTTCGCGTGTATGAATATTTGATCTCTTTGATCCGCCACCGTCATTCGACACGTAATGTGTTTCTAGACCGGTGGATTGAAGCTTTTTAAAGAAAAACTTGTACGTGTTTTCGTGATCACATCCTTCAATAATTCAATCACATTTTCGTGTGTCATATTTATTAAATCGGTATAATATATTTTCCTAACAAAAAATTTGAAAAATGACAATTGAAATGGGGCCTTTAATTAAAACTCTCTCTATGAATTGAAAAGAAAACCAAATTTTGTTATTGAGAGCCTTTAGATGATACCCCTTCTTTCCCCAAGAGAATTAATTAGGAATGCGTCAGTTATTTTTGCTATAGTTGTAGCAAATCCCAGTTATGTTCGTCTATTGGTTCGATAAATCTTAGCCAAAAATGAAATTCAGCACATTAAAATGGATAAATACTTGCAGTGTAGTTTCCAAAAACTTGTTTGTCAGATTATTCAGGAAGAATGCTTTTGGATTGTAATTTTTCAAAGAAAAATCATTACGTTTATCGTAAACATATTTTTCAATCACCTTTCTATCTCACAGATATCAAATCGCTACAGTAATTTTTGTACAAAAGTTTCAGATATATGCAATCCAAACAAAGACTCAACCAAAAGACAATAAGCTATGCCTTGGTTTGCAAGTCTTTAGAATTCTTATAAAAAAAAAAAAAGAATATATAATGTACTCCCTCCGTCCCACTTTGATAACCCTGTATTCCTTTTTCATCTGTCCCAAATTGTAGTCCACTTTCTAATTGAAGAATGTAGTTGTATTTTAATTTTTCTAAAATACCCTTATTCAATATAAGTAATTGTTACTATAAACCTACCCCATTTAATGAGAGTTGATTCTTTTTTTACCATCAATTCAAGTTCCCATAAAGTTGTACCATATTTAATGTGAGGGTATTTTAGGAAAATGGCAATCTAAATTTACTTTTCCAACAAAGTTAACTATTTTTTTAAAACTGTGTAAAAAAAAAGAAATCGGACTATTAAAGTGGGGCGGAGGGAGTACGTGAAATAGAAAGTGATTAAAAAAAAACGTGTTTAAAATTTTTTGACTGCAGACTATTTTAGACAAGAGAGAAAAAAAGTTTGGCCTGGTGATGGGCGGGATTGGATATAATTTTTTTATTCAAGTGTTAGGGAATCTCGCCCCTACTAAGCCAATAGACTTTGAAATAGAAGAGTGGTAATTGACGAAACTTTTCTTCCTTCAGGCGTTGGAAGTCACGAATTTGTTCTGTACTGGTGCTATATTATTATTATTGTTGCAGTGCGAGAAGAAAAATCAATCACGACGACATGATTAGTTTGCTCGACACGCTTCATGCGTACACGTAGATGAAATCGCTTGCGCAGATTGTACGCTGTAACTGTTCCTTGTACTACTGCGGAAAGCGAAACGAGTTCTCTTAAATTGCATGATCGATGCTTTGAGTGTCTGGCACTTCGGAATGATTTTTTTTCAATTCCATATGTTTCACTTTGGAGATGACATAATAATGAGCATTGAAATAAAACAGGATGATGATGCGCTTATGCTTCACCCGTTTTTTTTTTTTTTTTTTTTTTTTGCCTTTTCATCTTTTACTACACACTACTGAAACCAAAAGCTTGGTAAAATTATAAGAAAAATTTTAACTGCGTGGTTCGTTTTAAAATAATTTTCTGCATCTTTATCTTCTAGAAGTTCCTTATTATTATTAATTTTTTTTTATCCACATGCATGGAGTTCCTTTGTCCATTTTCCACAGCACGGGTCCCGAGTCTGTGGCGTTCTTCCACGGCAGTCAAAACGGGGCAATCTCCAGTGCATTGTATAGACCAGCAGCACACTAATGTTATGGAGTTCCTTCCTTTGTCAGTCACTGTTCAGGGCAACACGGGCAAGCATTTCAGCATATTTCAAAGCAGCAGGACCGATTAATAGGAATGTTTGCGGGCGATGTTATTGGCGGACGGAGTAGAATAAATACGAATATTTTTCGTCATTCACTTTTTAAATAATAATTTTATATCCTTTATAAGATAAAACCTATAAATTTTGACTCTAACTTAAATTTTCTACCACTGTTTATCCTGAATTTTTAAATTTCTTTTGTAATTTGTAATTAAATAAATGATGCAATCTATATTTAATTTTGTTCATAAGATAACTTTTTTTATACATATATAAGATAACTACGTGCTTGCGAGTCACGTGATGATTTTAAATAAAAAAATGATCGAAAACTCGAGTTATGATCAAATTTTATTAAATTGAATTTGTAAGAAACGTAAAATCTCATATATTTTATGAGTGAATGACAAAAAAAATCATTTGATGAGAAGATGCGAGGGACATTTGAACGAACGATTTTTTTCATTTTTGGGAGTACTAATTTGTTTGGAAATGGAAAAAGCTAAAGAAAGAATAAAGTAAATAGTACTGCTGACTGCTCAGGATTTCACTTGGGATATTTTTCAAACTCCACATACTCGATAGTACGACATTGCATTTCTCGCGCTCCCATACATACGTAGCTTTATTGCACTAACAACTATGATTTTTTATTATTAACAAACAATCAGGCTGGACATCAGAAGTATGGATCTGTACCTTGAACTCTTCATGTTCAAGGAAATACATACATTGCCAGGTATTGCTGCAACTACTACTTGTGGGGCAGCTTCACAATCACAACAGGACATTTGGCATGGTGAGCACAGTAATCGCTAACACTTCCCAGGAATGCCCTGCATACAACAAATACGCCAACATATTGACACTTCTAGTTTTCAAACACATTAAGATCAGATCAGAATAAAACAAAGGGCTAATTAGAAACTGCCTCTTGATTTGACCAAGTCCGCGGCTGCCAACAACAAGAACGTCCACGTGCATTCGTTCTACTGCCTCACAAATCATTTCCTTGGGATCTCCCTCAAGAATGAGGGTTTCTGCAGCGACCTACGTGCAAATATATAGCCATATCCAAGAATCAGCACTTCTCAATATGGCTTACTTTCGAATGCTTCTCCAAAATGATAGTACTACATGGTTTGACACGCACGGAAAAAAAAAAAGAAGAAGAAAAGAAAGAAGCTCCTGCAATGTTCATACTAGTACTGCTAACTAGATAATGACCTTTCTGTCCTTGCACATACGGGATGCCTGCGAGAGTATTTTTGCAGCATTTTGCTCCCGGGCTTTGGTGGCAGACTCGACCACTGGAAATGTTAGATTTCACGCATATAATACTTGGGCAAAAAATAACATCAATGGCAGCACCAAAAGCACTAGTAGTAGCTACTAGTTCAGAATAGACAGACTATGGAATTGCAGAACATACTTTTGTGTTTGTAATTGCATTAATGGTGATATCACTAGTTGCTGTGTAATTAATTTATAACAACCACGACGTACCGTATCCGCCCGGGAAGACGTAGTGAGGCAAGCGATCCATGACATGGACGAGGGAAACGAGGTTGGACTCCACTCGATGGTCGTGTTGATGATCAGGTGTTTCAGTACCAGTTGGTAGCGTACTCATCACGATGTTACTGAAAAATTTATCCAGAACCCAATTGAGAGCGTAGAAGCTCTCCTCGCTGTCATCTACTGCCACCATCGCCCTCATCTTCTTTCTTTCTTGCGGCAACAACATCTGCTGCTGCTCAGCCTGCTCTTGCTCCATTGTTCCTCGTGGACCTGCTGCAGTACGGGTCCCTTTCTCTTCTAGGACACTGCTACTGGGCTAGTAGTGGTCTCCATATCTCTTCTTTATTCGTCTGGGACTGGGAGTATATATATATAACCACGTCTGGAAGTGTTCAACCGTCTCTCAAGAAACTACTAGCAGTGTAATTATTACTAGGTTAAAAGTGACGCTGGGTTGAATAAACTTTTGATCTGTAGCGGCTAGTCATGAATCATGTTTCTCTATGCACAGAAACATTGGATATGGATGCAACACGGGAGCAAGCAAGTTGGCACGGGTGCTGCGACGTGGCTTCCTCCTATGTACTTACCGCTACTTTTGCATGTCAAAAATGGAAATTTCTATATGCATGGAAGCCACGTGTTTTTTTGGGGGGGGGGGGGGGGGTGGGAGTCAGGTTCATCTTTTGCCAGGTTTCGATCTCAAGCTTTTAAGATCCTGCCATCATGCCCCCCCGACTTTATATACCTATCCACCGAACACAATACTTTCTCGTCTATCTGAGGTTTAGGGATAATCCTTCGGATCGAATTACGGGGCCTGGCGTTGTCGTCTCATTGCAATATTCCTACTTCTTTCATTGCAATATTCCAGGTAAATTAACTCGAAATTCATACTTCCATGTGTATATATATAGACATACAAGTGCTAGAAACGGAACTAAAGTAGAAAGTTGAAATTGTATGTCTAGTGACACACGTATATATATATATATATATATATATCTTGCTTGATACATTACTGAAAATTAAAAAAGCCAGGTGGTAGCTCTGCGGGTTTTCGATCTACAGGAATGGAAAGAAAAGCAGTAGATCAGACTAGTGGTGGAACAGAGGAGGAGGCAGCTGTAGTCGTCCAGCAGCAGCCGTTGTTGGCTGGGGAGAGAACGCAGATCATGAAAGTGATGGTGGCGGTGGACGAAAGCGAGGGGAGCTTCTATGCGCTCAAGTGGACCCTTAACCATTTCTTCCACCAGCTCCCAGCTGCAGGTGCAGTACCGCCCGAGGAACCCGGCCGGGAGTCCAGCATGATAACTATCGTACACGTTCAGGAGCCCTTTCAACCCTTCATTTATCCTGCTGGACCAGGTATATAGTTTTTCTCTCTGTGTGTGTGTGTATCTAAAGCAAACATTAATTTTGTTTTCTCCATATCGTACTTGATTCATTTTGACTTATTTTCTAGCTGTCTATGCAACACCCATGGTGGTTGAGTCCGTGAAGAGAGCCCAAGAAAAAAATGCTGCTTCAGTTCTCAGTCGTGCTTTGCTAATGTGCAAGGATTACAAGGTAAATCAATATATTATGTATCACATCAAATACAGCATGCACGTATGTTCATGATGTACGTGAGTGCATGATATGTACTCAACTGCTATTTCATATTTGAGGAAGATCAAGGCAGAAACTTTGATTCTTGAGGGAGATCCGAAGGACAGGATTTGTGAAGCTGCAGAGGAACTGCATGTTGATCTTGTGGTTGTCGGTAGCCGCGGCCTTGGCAAGATAAAGAGGTGCGTGGTAATAGTAGTGATTTCTGTAATTAAACGTCAGTCAGCTGTAAACAATTGCTAATATATATTTTGAGATGTAATCTTGGTTTTCGCAGGGCTTTCCTGGGAAGTGTTAGCGATTATTGTGCGCATCATGTGCGCTGTCCGGTTCTCATTGTGAAGCCTCCAAGGGACCAGGAGGTCCATAAGAAGTAGATTTAGCTTTCGGTCCTATAATCAGTAATCGCTCAGCCAAAAGAGTTGCAGCCGCGATAATTGTAATACTACTCCTCAGTCTATCGATCAGGTTGATAGACTGAGGAGTATTAAGTGATCTCTTTCCCTTTCCTTTGGCAAGCCTACAACAGTTTTTCTCTTTGCAATGTCGGTCATCTCGTCTGACTGATGCTCACAGTTGGAATTCTCCGAGTTTTATCTTATGAGAGCATTTGGCATTGATTTTGTTATTCTCTCCTAGTTCTCCCTTCTCTGGTTCTTCCCTCCTTCCATACGCGATTGTACAAATTAAATCACCTGTTACCGAGTTTTATGTTTCACTCTCAAGGATGTTTATGCCCAAGTTGGGAAAATGACCGACCTACGATTTGTGATTGTGATGGCTTGAACGTCCTGCCGCCCACCGTGGGTGCAAATGTTTGATGGATGGACAGAAAAGACGCTGGAGGCTCTACTCACGTTACCACGTAATAATAATGTAGTGGGTAGCAATAATCATTCATCAACAGTAATAGCAGGTAATTCATCATGTTTGAATGCTCGAGTGCAGCCTACGCCGAATAGGAATACTTGTGTGTATGCATGGATGAGGGGCAGTAGAATGACCGCTCTGAACTATTCACGGTCAGATTTTGGCCAAAAAACAATATACATAGTTGTACATCGATTTTTACAGTATGTACAAAACTCGCAAAATTTTATATTAAAATTACACATTATTTACGCCACGTGCAACCAAAATTACGCGCAATTGAAAATGACCAAAATCGTCAGAAACGGTTGCCCCTTGTATGCATGCTGTTGCTTCAGCAATCGTATATATTATCGAGATACAGACGAGAATCATGAATCAGACTAATATTGTCCACAACAGAAAATATGATGATGATGATTGTTACCATTCTCCAACCGATTCCATTTAATGTGAATAATGTGTAGGAGTCGGAATTCAGAATTCTGAAACCCCGAACACACGTATGTATACAAACTTTTGTGTTAGATTCGCTCGTCAAATATACAACGTCCGTGACGTTACTTTTCCTGAACTTTCCCGCAAACAGGTTAGACATGCCGTCATATGCCCCTATCTCTCTTGCAACGCTTGAAATGCTCGTCAACGTCTAAATAACAAATAGATGCTGTTTATCCCTGGGCAGATTAGATGCGATAATATACAATCAGGATCAATACAAGTACACAATAAATATCGGATAAAAAGCACACAAACCTGTTGACTCATAATAATTTCCACAGCTACATCCAAATCCCCATCAGAAGCCGCCAACGCAACTTCTACCTGCGTCTGAAAGATTCCAGCGAATTTCTCATCAAGGTTTTGAGAACATCATTTAAGCAATTACATGAGCACTGGAATGCAAAAGGGTCTTTTTTTTTCCTTTGGCCAAAGAAAATAATACTCAGATAAATGAAATTACAAACTGAGAAAGAGTCAGCACAAAATATGCAACCAGCAACTATTTACCCTTTCAAAACCCATGGCAACAAGTTTCTGTATCTTTTCATCAGATGCAACAGGGCCCTACATGTACAAGGGAAAAGAAACAATTAATGGTCAGTCAGAGGAACAAAATACATCAAGAATCAAGCTTCCTACCACATACGAACCTGATTACTCTGCGCTCTGGTGACAGCTGCTGATGCACCATCAACTGTTAGCTGCCTGAAAAGATAAAGGCCTCTCAGCACAAAAGCCTATTAGAACAAACTAATAGGCCTTCCATTAAATCACACCCAAGCTATTGATTTAGAGGTTGTAGTGACGAGGAATGAGACTGATAAAACAGGAGTTATAGGCATCAAACTAAAGAATGAACTCTCAGTGAGAGCTATGAAGTCACATTTGAACATTAACTTGTGTTCTGCGAACAAGAATTATCCCCTTCCCCATCCAATCCATATTTGCAAGCGTATATCAGGTGAAACAAATTGAAACAATGGTGCCCTTTTCCAAGTCTGTTAATTAACCAAATGGCAAAGTAAAATCCATTGAACTACCCACGGAATGACCATTCAAATATTAACTTCACTAGAAGTACATGACTTCAAACTTCCTGCTTGCTATAAAGCAATTCAGTGCAACTACCCCTAGGTTTCTTTGTTACAAACAAAACAGATAAAACACAAATCCATTACCATTTGGGAATATCAAATGAGCATGAATAACCCAACATTTTACAATTAAAACTCAAAAGAGAGTGATTTCCTGTTTGAAATGCATACATTGCAAAGCAGCAAAGCCAATACCCAAAGAAAAATACCAGTATGGAGCTCAAATATATGACAAGTCTCTGTATGTATATAAATGTCAAATCAAGGTCATGTTAGAGGAGAAGTCCACTTCCTAGTACCTTCCATCTGATAGTAGTTCACCCCTAGCATTTTCTACTGTCTGTAATGGATTGTCTGTGTTGCTGTTGTCCAGAAGTCTAGCCTGTAAGCTTGAATTAGGATTGCTTTCAGATGGTGAGACAAGCGTTCTTCCCCTTCCTGGAAATCTACCATCCTCTTCTACAGACTGCATCTGTGAATCAAAATAATAAATTGTTAAAGTGATCATATCACATGGACGTGGTTTTTTTTTTTGTTTGAATTACTACAGCTTTTTACTAAAGAATGCCATACTATCGCAGCAAAGAGAATGCACATATATGTGGGCCACAAGAAATCGAAATTTGAGTATGTTCCTAGCATAAACTAGATTTAATGGCAGAAAACAGAAAAATGAAAATATTCAATGTTCAATAGAGTCATGGTTAGAAACCAGAAAAACAGACATCTGAAATTATGTTTACAACAGCGCCATATACAACAACACAAGGATGCACTGGAACCAAATAACATCTAACAATCCTAAAAAGATGACAGACAAACACTCTTAAGGATGCTATTCTGCATTAAGAGCAGTAATTCAGAGTTTGATCGCAAACCCCAGGACAGAAATTCTCTCAATAGACAGCCTGCACAAGTTGTCTCTCCAATAGTTAACAGCAACCCCTAAATAAACAATAATGGTAAAGTTTTCTCCATTGAATATATTATATTATCAATCAGCTCCGACCATTTTCTGCTTTTCTAGATTGATCCAACCTGTAAAAGACTTGTATCATCTTTTTCTTGATGCATTTAATTTTCTTCAGCATTTTGAGAACTTCATACATTCAATATGTTTTATGGCTAGAGATAATAAGTAGCTTTAGCGCTTCAAAAATTGATAGCGACCAGCAAATGCAGTCCTCCTTTTATCAAGATTGAATATTCGTGAATTTTAGAGTATGCATGTTCACCACTGCATTTATGCAGGCTTCTAAGTTTTTCCAAAGGAGAAAATATAAACCAGAAAAGGCTACACAACAAAGCCCTTAGCATCCCTTCTACCTAATTTTGCAAAATATGTATGTCATTTAAAATTGAGGAGAATTTCATATTCATATACACCATTATTGCATTCAAGATCTCCATTCTCTTGACTGAATTACAGAGTGAGATGATTTGCTTTGAAAGTACATATCTAAGACTATGCAGAAAATTTACTTAAATCTCCCCTCAACAATCTAACTCATCCAGCTCACCCTTTTCTCCACAAAGGAAAATGATTCATTATTATGGCATCCATCGCCAACAGCATCACCAAAAAGAGTGAACGGAAACATGAAGAAATGAAAGAAAAGCAGCTGAGCACCTGAGAGGTCTCTCTTTGTGGCATCCATGAAGAAAAGTTCCTCCAAACATTTCCAGAAAGCAATCCACTATTCGGAAACAGAATCATCATGTTCAGATGTATGTTAGAAATCAAACTAAAATGAAGAAAACATAGTAAAACCAGACAAATCTACCTGGATGTTGGATTTTGACTTGTGTGAGTGGGAATGTAGCCTGAAGCATTCCCACCAGTGCACAACATAAACTTCGGTCTTCTCACGCACGTTGACTGACCAGGGAAGTATAAAATCATTGCTAGTGAGAACAATACATTAACATAAATCATGCAAAACAAACAAAAATACAAGAGTAGATAAACAAAGAAACGATTTTGAGCAAAAGTTAAACTTCTTATACACCTACAACTCTCAAGTTTTTATCCTCCTTATGGATATCATTAAGTATGACTGATCCTGCTAACTCAAAAGGCTGTTATCTCAACTTACAAGTATGCATCTAAACTTGTTCAACTGACAGACGACCCATAGTCTGCCATTATCTACTAGAAAAGAACCTTCAATTGTGTGTTGGACACACATTGGTATTAATAGCCTCCTATAATGTATACTTTAGGGAAATTCAAACATCTAGGCTTTGCCTCTCTCTCAACTGTCCTTTTTACTTTCATTCCAAGTGCTGTCAAACCTCATAGCTTCCCTACCATATACAAGAGATCTTAGCTGTCCTTCAAATCTCATCTGCATCAACTAGAAAAGTCAATTCGAAAAGTAAAGAACAAGCATGCCTTTATGCATATGTAAGTGATGAAAATACATAAGTGTTTGGAGAACTTCAAATTACATTTCAATATAAAAGAAAATGATATCAACAATAGCACGTCAATGGGAGATATGACATTAAGAAGAAAATCGGTAACAATGGATCTGATTCCAATCTGCTTCAAAGAGGAAAATCCCAGGTTTCATGCAAAAAAGGAAAGCATCCTTGATGATACTTACAAGCCATGAGGATGATTCAATTGCTGAAAAAATGGACGTCCCAGGAATTAAAATGTTGAATAATCCATAAGTATCTGCACGAGTATAAATTGCAACTGAGTGTAAATGTAGAGGAGAATCCAATAGTAGTTAAAAAGGATATACGTGAGGACAAATAGAAATTCTTAGAATAAGCATACATGCAAATCCAGACAAAATGCCACAGAGATGTCCAAGAAAAGAGACATTTGTCATAAGAAGCTGAAACACCACCAATAAGATCCAGGCATACCTGACAGAGGTATATCAATTAGAGTATGACATACAGCTAACATATGAAAGACAAAAGGAGATAAAGTTACACTGCAATGCAATAAATGTTTATTTACCATTTAGCAGGCACATTAAATAGCCCAAACACGCTGCAAAGAAAATATAATAAGTTATCATGTCAGATCCTGGAAGTTTCAAAGACTGAACTTAACGTTTCACAATATTAGAAAGCCAATGGTACTTATACATGGTACAAGATATTCCAAAAATAACTTTTTTGCAGACAGGTCTATCTGCAAAAA